TTAATCAAAATGGATTTATAGCGTTTTGGAACCAAACTCTTCATATATATATACACACACACACACACACACACACAGACACACATATTTATATATAAATAAATAAATAATAATAAATAAATAAATAAATAAAAATATATATATATACATATACACATATTTATATAATATAAAGGCATAAATGTGCTATAAATATAAAAAGCATTTAGAAATATAAAAGTTATTTTAAATTATAATATTTCATAGTGTTTCTGTATATGTTGATCAATTAAAATGCAATGCGAGCATAACATTCTTATTTAAAAAAAACTTTTGAATGGTAGTTTATGCATTTCAAATTATTTATTTAAAATATATGTTTGCGTACATTTCCTCTTGATCGTGAAACATGTAGGAATGATGCTGTAAAATACTGTATGCCAAATCATGGTAATCTACTGCATCCGTCACAACCTAGCACTCAGAACCAATCCAGAGGATTGATTTTGTGTACATGTTTGCGCTGTTACGTGATTAATTTTTTGTTTTTTTTCAGTGAGTCTACATTTAAACAATGCAGTCAGTGTGTGTGCAAGTAAACAGTGACAGCAGGTGCACTTCATTCTTCACGAATTCCCCCATTTATGTTAATACAAGAGAAATAATTCAGTAGATCTTGGCATGCTTGTCCCAGTGCCAACAACGGTGTTATTTATTCGCCTGATAAAAGGTTGGGCTTTTGTTTTATTTTTTCCATATGTGATTGTCTATCCATGCATTGCATTTCCACACCTGCCAGTCTGAAGTAATAGCTTTTAATCTGTGCATCAAAGCCTGGATAAAGAGCCTCTGAGGAGAGAGAGGATATGGATGAGAAACTCGGTCTGTTCCCCCTCCCTCCATGGCTTTCTCTTTCTCAAAGATGTTGCTGCTGTGCGCACGCTGTGTTATCAATAACCTGGGCTTCACCACTGACAAAGACAAATCACTTTTTCATTTTCACATTAAAAACACGAAAACGATCTAGTCTGTGTGCGCTTGTCCATATGATTACACTAAAAAATGACCGTGAATTTAACGGTAAAAGACTGTAAAAATGCTACAGTAAAAACCTGTTAAATGGTTAACGGTAAATTCCCCTACTATATACAGTGAAAAACTACTTTAAATAGTCACCTCAACAATCTGCTCTGCTTGGCTGCCACATGCTGCCTGTTGAATAGCACAATTCGTCCTAGTATTCAAATAGCTTTAGCCAAATGTGTGCGCTCTGAAAAGAGTGTTCTGTTTGCTTTCAGGAGAATTCTGTGCGTCTTTTTTAAAGGAACAGTTCATCCAAAAATGAAAAGACTGTTGTTGTTGTTGTTAAAATCCTCATGATCCATGTTTTTTTTTTTTTTGTTGTTTTTTTTGTGGAGCACAAAATGACAATTTTGAAGAATTGTTACATGGCTTATTTCAGTACATAGTGACTCCAGCTATGAACACTTTAAAATCACCATAATAGTGTTCTATAAATAAAACATATGCCAAGTCTTATAAGGTCATATGAAAGCTTTGCATGAGAAACAAACCCCAATTCATTATTTATTCACTACTAAAGTCATTATTCACTGATAATCTTTCCCTCCAGGGAGATGTTAAGCAAACATCCACTGCAACCAAATCACTGAGTCAGTGAGTTAACCAGAAAACCATGTAAGTCTGATTCATGAACAAATCATTTAGTCACATCTGTACAGCAGATCAGCAGGTTCATGAGTCATGTGACACCAAATGACAATAGTTTTCACAAATATATAAGAAAACATGTTTTACAAGTTGTAAATACGCAGATTCACAAACGACATTGGAGAACTACAGTGGAGAGGAAGATTTACAGTCATTGTGTCCGAATATGCTGTCTTCCCTACTGTATATGTAGTTTGTGAAAAACAGGATGCTAAACGAGTAGTTTGTCTGAATTCATTGTATTCAAAAAAGAGGTGAAAAATGTCCTACCATTATAACTTCTTATTATACTGTATGTATGACTTCAGAAAACTTAAAAAAAATAATAATAATTTAAAAGAAAAAATTAATATAAATCTTTTTTTTTTATGGTGAATTTATAGTGCTTTTTGTCTTGCCTTGTTTGGAACAACATGAGGGTGAGTAAATAATGATATACCGGGGATTTATTTATATATATATTTATTTTTTTATTTTTTGGGGTGTGTACTATCCAGAGCTCTTCTCGAGCCCTTGCTCTATGGGCAGCATTTTTAGCCCATGCCTGTGACAGGGAGCACCTGTGGTGTGAAGATGTCTGACTGCTCTTTATAGCAGTTCCACAGCACATTATGCAATTTAAGTAGTCTGCAAATGAACACGTAGGACGTGTTGCGTTTGAGTCTATTGTTTGTTCCATAAGAACGTCTATGGTTTCCTCTCTGCTGTTTCCGCACATTATGTTAAGCAGGACTCAAGCCATATTGTGTGACATTTTTAAAAAAGTTTTTTTTTTTTACATTTTATTCTCAAATAAAAAACCAATGGGGAAAATCATTTTATTTTATTTTATTTTTTATTTTTTGAAATCCAGGAATGTATAGATTAAAAATTATATATTAGTTTTTTTTTTTACCTCTGCTCTTTCATTTTCAGATCTGAAGAACGCTGCTCCCTGTGACTTCAGTAAGAGAGAGAGTCTGAGGCCAGCTTCAGCAGCAAGCTACCTTGAGTTAAAGGTTAGTCTTTGTCCTGTGGCTTCAAAGACCAGACGTGAACACACACACAGACACGCATGCATCCGTTTGGTTTCATTAGAAATGCCAGGGGGCTGGAGAGGTTCCCTGTCCGTTCACAGCCAAACACCTGCACGGCTTTCATCCCCTATCTGTCCACTCAGCCTTTATCACCTGCCACCCAGCCAACCACAGCACACACATGGCATCTAAACAAACCATACACACCAGACATGCCTCACGCACTGCTAATTCACACAACCGCATGACACACACAAGTCAAAATACCACACAAAACTTCTGTGCACAGCAAGTGCTCACTCCAACACATCTTGCTGAGTGGACCATCAAACCTTGTGCTTTTGTAAAATAAGGAAAACAAACAAGATGCGCTTTCTGTCCTCTTGGTCTTGAGCTGGAGCGCTTCACCGACATGATAAATACATCTATAGAATGCTTTATATTACTATTTTAAAATGAAATAATTCAAATCGAAAACGAAAACTCTTTCATTATGTAATCCGTAAAGATGCATTTCTCTCTAAAGGCACGTCCAATGAGGAGATGGCGAGTCAGTTTGTTCTGTTCACAAAAGTTTTATGTTTAATAAGCAACTTTGTCATTGTAGCATTGCTGATGTTGTCTGTGTGTTTTTGTTTTCATTAAAGAGTAACATTGAATCAACCATTAAGCATACATTTTTTTAAGAATAGGAAAGGCCTAACGTTAAAGATAAAAATAAGTGCTACAGATGTGAGGATGCGAGATCTGTTGCTGAGTTAAATGCTCTCTCTTCTCTGCTGTCCCTTTGCTATGTCTGTAGAAATGGTCGTTAATTCTTAATTTGGTTACGGAACAGACATGTTACAGGTAATAACATTAAGCTGGATTTTACCCTTCAGCATCAGAAAATGGTAAAAAAAAAAATAAAAAAAAAACACTTTGTATTGATAAAGGATAAAGGAAGGGATTTCAGCCGTTTTTAAAGCCGTTTAATGTCAACATTTGTGTGGTTCTCTGTTATTTTCATTTCAGTACACAGCGTGTTGTCCTTCAAAGTTTCAAATTGAGTAGGTAGAAAAGCCCACACAGTCTACAAGGACACTGTGAGGTCAAACTTTGTAGATGTTCAAAAAAGAAGGTCAAAAGAACTGCAAGCACACCTACACTTAATATTATAGATTTTAATTGTGCAAATAATTAGTTAGCACTGTCATACTTGTGTAAACCAGTAGGGTAAAGGCTCTGGTTGTGATTAGTCACACTTTACTCCTTGTACAGCTGGCCTGGTTAAGGAAGCTGAGTAGCCATTTGGGGAGGCATCGTGTTTGATTCAGTCCTTATTAAAATGCCATTTTGTTTTGAGCGCAAGGGGCTCTGCACCTCCAGGCAAGTGCGGAAGGACTCGGAGCATGGTCTCAGAGCAGGATTGGCGTGAACAGTCCAATTTTTCATCATTATTGATCATGACATATCCAAAGTGGCAGAGCGTGGGCTTGAAGGAGAATAGTGGATGCTTCAACCGGGCAGGGAACTCTCATGCCGCCACATTTGTCCCTGCAGGGTCTTCTGCACAGCCGTGACGACAACACAATTCTCTGCTGGCTATTACAGCCGATGAGGTTAAAAACAAGAGCTGATGGTTGTTCTTACACATATCTCTTACTTTCCTTTCACATTCTAGACCTAAATAAGTGTTGGTAGCAGTATAGCATTAAACTAGCTGTCGGAGTTGTGCGAGATTCAACCAAATGCCTTGTATCCCTTGTGGAAAAAAATGTACACTTCTTTAGTATACTTAGTATGGTAGTCAACACATAAAAATGTGTGCAATCCTTTGAAATAAAACAAAATATCATTAAAACATAATGCTTTAAAGGGGTCCTATTATACTTTTTCACTTTTTGAATTTTAGTCAGTGTGTAGTGTGTATGTTTGGGCATAAAAAATATCTACAAAGTTAGAAAATCTCAAAGTCCACTCCAAAGGGAGATATTTAGTTTTTTAAAAATCCCTTCAAGGGAGATGATCAAACTCCCTTTACAAAAAAAAGGTAAAACAGCGATGTAGGATGATTTTGAAGTTGGAGGAGAAAATGAGATGGGAGTTTTTCGACATACCCTAACTGTCATGAACCAGAGTGCACAGAGTATGCATGCGCATCGCAGCGCTAGACAAGACGAGCGTTTGAGGTTAAAACGTGTATAAATTGTACATTTCTTTAGAAAATAACCGATCGTTTCGCTAGATAAAACCCTTTTTTCCTCGGCTGGGACTGTTTAGAGCCCTTTGAAGCTGCATTTAAACTGCATTTTTGGAACTTCAAACTTGTGAGCACCATAGAAGTCCGTTATATGGAGAGAAATCCTTAAATGATTTCCTAAAAAAAACATAATTTCTTTACGACTGAAGAAAGAAAGACATGAACATCTTGGATGACAAGGGGGAGAGTAAATTATATGTACATTTTTGTTCTGGAAGTGAATAATCCTTTACCGGAGCAGACAGAACTTGCTGCTTGGCAAGGGGTGGGGCAGTACTGAAACACCGTCTAAGCTGTTTGCCAATCACAACGCACACTGGCCCAGCTAACCAATCACAGCGCACACTGGCCCAGCTAACCAATCA